CATTCAGCCAGAACTTGCTCTCCTGTAATTTGAGACAATTACTCCATGTCTTGCTCTTTGGCATGACAGAGAACAGGTCATGACTTCTTATGCAATATCACCTTCAGTATTAGAAGATACTATCATATCTTTCCCAAAATCATTCCTGGCAGAGCTCAGGAGCATTAAAAAAAAAAAAAATCATCAAACCACCTTTTCTAGTATTTCTAGATAAGAGTATATCCCAATCTCAAACACCATGCAACAGTTGAGTTGCACAACATAGATTTTATTTATGAAAAACACAATCACAATCTCTGTGTATGACTTTAAAGAAGAAACACTCAGCTAACAAAACCTTAGTCTTCCTCTAGGCAGTGTTTTAATATGTAGCTCCTACTTACACTGCAAGAAGTCTGGGCTGCGGTTCACTTTTAAGATGAAAGTCACAACCCTAGCTTTCTACTTTTTAAATCATATGGGAAAAATCTATATGGATAGGAAAGTCTCATCACTGCAGATGCTCCCAGTCAGCATGTGGAAAATAAAGGTGCATCTGTGTGTGACTGTCTTATCCTTTGCTCACATGTTAATTGTCTAAGAAATGCCTGGTTGGGTTCTCTTCAACCAAGATGTTGCATTGTTGCATGACGGATTTGCCCCTCATCTATGATACTGCTTTGCAATCTTGTTGAGACATCTGGCTCCTCTACTGCCCAATACTAACTTGATTAACAGGTGTCAGAGCTTTAAATATAAGAGAACAAAGTTGATCCAGTTCCCTTACTTTGTCACAACCAGTGTGGCTGTTGCTTTTAGCGAAGTACAGGAAACGGGCATAATCTGGCTAGCACTACCTGGCATTAGGAAATGTGAATTATTTACTTTAGGAAGGACATCGTTTGATCACGTCATAGTACATCTTGGTACCTCATGACCTCAGTCTGTGACAGACAGCAATCTGAATTGCTAGATTAAAAATGTAGAATTAGCCATGATTTCTCCCCTTCCCCCAAATCTATTCCCAAATAAACTGTCATTACCTCTTTCTTTAAAATCTATGACTCCAAGTTGTTGGAACCCATTCTTTAGCCCTGTATTAGGAATCAAATCTTGCAAAACAAAACAAAAACAAAAAAAAAGGTCACAGAAAAGGAGGACTGTTGTAGCTCCCTACAAACAAGTGAACTCAGATATTGAGAAATATAGATGGTTCCCCACGAAATTCAGCAGACTGAGATCAGACTCAAAAGTTCAAAATGAGCATGGTGGGAAGCAGGGTAGAAGATCATTTTCTTTTATGCAGTTATTAAATTTGAATATTGGCATAACATAGCATAGATAAACAAGATAAAATATACAAATTAAAACAGATAAGCATTAAAATATATTTGGGGGGAGGGGATGTCCAACAAAAGCAAACCACATTGGAACAGTGGAAAAAAAGAAAACTATGCATGAAAAGGTATGGAAAACAAAGAGGTATTTGCTGC